CACCCTCTTCTTGATACACGCCAGTATCCCATTGACCTTTTTGGCCACCTGGGCACACTGCTGGCTCATATCAAGCCGGTAGTCAACCAAGATCCCCAGGTCCTTCTCCTTCTCTTACTTTTTGTAAGTACAATATTAATTGTACTTACAAAAATACTTGTATAATACACTTTTGAAAGGTAAGAGTGTGATCTTGCCGGGTTTCTGCCGCTTTATCATTTGTCTTCCATCCTCTCAATTTTCAGTCCAACAGTTCTCTGTATTTCTTTTGCAACAGAATAATTATTCATTTGCTCCTTCCTTTCCTTATACAGAGCTTTACTTCTAATATTATGTTTTGACTGCTTCAGCATTTCATTTTGCAAAAATCTGTCTTAATCCATCATACATTAGGACAATTTCTTCAACAAAATCCTCTATGTTGTCCTTCATATGTTGAGACCTTTTTCTTTTTCTGACTCTGCTGAGATACCTTGTCTACTTAATGCCCACTTTGGGCAGTCAGCATTCAGCTTTTTGTTTCTTACAATGCTCTCCAACCACTGCTAACTCCTGCAGAGCGCCACACATTGTACTTCTGCTCAGCTGCAAGTCAATATTGAAAAAATACCAAGACTCCTGTCAGTACCTCACCTGCCAAATTCTTCCTTCAAAGCTGCACTTCAGATCTTTCCTTTCTGTTAACACACTAGAAAAAAAATAAATCTAATTCTACTCTTCACAGCTTGACTGTAACGCTAGTTAATTCTTTGTAAACTTCTAAACCAGTCATTTCCATTATAGCTGAAGCTGTTTAGAATTTTAGTTTCGAACCCCATGATTTAAGCTTCATTTTCTTCCCAGTTCTCTTCATAATTCAGAGATTTTTCCTATTGCCTCTTTCTGTGATTACGATCTCAAATTTCTCACACATGATAAACAGCATTTCTAAGACTTTTTCTCTCATTTTTCCTCTCTCTTTTTTTTTTTTTAAAAAGAAAGCTTATCCTTTTAAGGAATGCAGATACAGTCTTTCTTGAGTAGATCTCACTATCTTTACAGATAAGAAAGACACATCCAAAATGTATGAGCATGTATAACAGCAGCGATGATCACCACACACCATGTAAGCAACATATGACAATTTAAAACACACTGTATACTGCAAGTTTCCTCACCCATTTTGCCTTTGGGTTTTTTTGTTTCAACACAGTGTTGCTTTTCTGACCCTTAAAGAAGCAGACTACTTGAAACAAACAATTCAATGACTGTGAGTTGCTTCTTAAATGCTTCCTTTTTTTTATTCCAAGCATTTTATTAATTGCTCTCCAATTTTCCTATTACACTTCTTATTATACACTCTTCCCACTCAGAAATTAACTTTTAAAAAAGCAGAGGCCATTTGTTCATTTCCAGCCATACTACTCAGGAAGTTGTATTCCACTGCAGGGAGGCTTCCAAGGATGCTTTTCTTTAACATGCCATTATTTCTCACCAACTATAAACAGTTGAAACCAGCTTTTTTTAGTTTTTAGCATACTTATTCAAGCTTTTCTCATGAAGTAACATAAGTTGAGAAATTAATAAGAGCTGTATTCTTCGGATTTCTTCCCCACGTCTTCTCACAGAGAATCCACATTCACTTAAAGCGTGACTACATCAGAGCTCTGAACTTATTTATTGGTCCTTTACTTCTCAACCACCAGCCAGGCTTCCTGAATCAGTCTTTCCTTTCTCCTGTTACTTTCAACAAATAAATATATATTTAAGTTATTCAGATCTAAGATTGCTTACACACTTATTCTCTCCAATATGCCAATGAATATTGCTGTAAAAATTCTCCCAGAATTTCTACTTTAAATTTTGAGTTGCATTTAAACTATTTTTTTCTATCCTCACTTTTTTTTTTTCCCTGCTGAAGCTTACAGAATAACAGCTTCTTTCAAGATTTCCAGAATTCTCTTTACTCTCTCTCTCACCCTCCCATTCCTCTTTTTAAAGCCTCTTAGTGATGTTATGTTATTCATGCACAACTGTTTGAAGTTGCAATCTTATTTGAAACAAAAACTAGGAGATGACAACCCTTCTGGAGATAAATGCAATTCCAGATGGCAACTGGAGCTGAATAGAGGCTCTCAACTCAGAGCCAAGGTAAAGAGAAAAGTTCACTGACAAAACCCAATCAGTATAAGAAAGGAGCATTGACACAGAACCCCCTAATTTTCATTGACTAAAATTTAATCTTACAGATTCTGTGTACTTCATAGTATAATTACTGAACAACACATGGACTGATAGATTAAGAGGCAGTTAAGTATGGGACAATAGTTTACTAACAAATTAGCTGATGTCAAAGAGGTGACTTCAAGGAGAGGTGGAAATAATATCCTGGGCTCTTCTAACACTTCAAAGTTTATGAACTCCGAGTCTACCATATTCATTTGCTTCTAAACCTCCTCAATATAGATGTAGGAATGGAAGCAGAATTTCATGCTCTGAAGTAATAAACAGTTGTAGAACTCCCTCCAGAAAGCTGACCTCTTATCAGCTGTCATGGAAGAGATCAATGGCGTTCCACCTCTATACCATTCTTATAGGTCAAGCAACAGCCATACTGACATAGAATGAAATCAATAACTTGAGCTCTCCTGATGAAGAGTTTATGAACTATCAGAAGCAAAAAATTGGCTTGACCACACAGTAAAAAGAAATCCTCTAGAGTTCTGAAAACTGTCAATATGTGAAAAACATAACCATTTCAGAATTATAATGCTATATACAATACAACACATGCAAATTAGATGTCTCTGTTGTAAAATATTTTATCAGAAATATTTTCAAGATATTTAGAGTTGCAGAAAATTAAAATCTTAGTAAAGAAGCAGCAATTATTTTGTACAAAGGAGCAGCGATTATCACTATAACGAATTTTTCCTTCTTACTGACGAGGGCAACCTTTGTTAAATTATAACTTAACTCTCTTCCAAATATACATTTAATGTTTAAATGGCAGTAAGTTTTAGGTATATAGGAAGTTTGAAAGTTATTAAGCTCAAGATCATTAACAAAAAGGTTATAAATACAGTTTGTGCATTTTTATTCATAGGATCTGTACATCTAGCACAATCTAAAAATATATATACAAGTATATGCTTATGGGTATTTGTGACAAAAGGCATATATATAAGCTAATATACCTGAAACCCAGTTCATATTACTGTTCTTCATCATACTAATAGCCAGAAAAATTATTCTTGTATAAAAAAGTTTTACATTTCAATCTTTTATGGACAAACTTTTAAGTTCTTAAAGGATAAATGCAGGCTAGAAGGGACTTCTGCAGGTCTCTAGTCCAATCCACCGCCCAAAGCAGGGCCAGCCTCAAATTTAGATCTAGAAGCCCAAGAACTCATCCTGGTAAGTTATTAAAATCTCCCAAGCACAGAGATTCAGCAGCTTCTCTACTTATCCATTCTCATCATGACTTCTCCTCACTGGAAGATTCCTAACTGCAGCTAGGGACCTTGTTCTTTCCTCTTATCCTTCCACCACGCACCTTTGACAAAAGTCTGGCTCAATCTTGCTTAAAACCCTCCCTTCCACTCTTAGGTACATTGTAGTTATACCTATAACTTTAACAGAAAGTGTATGAAAAGAATAAAGAGCACAACTTCAAAATAAATTATCAAAACAATTATGATCTAAGCAACAGAATCACAGGCACCCATTCAGTAGTGCTCATGATGAACACGACAATAGAGAACATCAAGTTGATTCAAATTCAACACTTCAAATTATCAATAATTCTTTTTTAAGGAAGAACAAACCTGGGCCACTTTAACGGAATTTTGAGTAGAACCACCAGCATGATATTCTACTTTGAACTTTTTCACAAGTTCTTCAAATCTGTTTAAAAAAAAAAGTGGAGAAAAAAAGTTAAACTCTGCAATTATTTGTCTGCTCATTTCTTCTTTTGAAAAATCAATGAAAACTACAAGTAGATGACATCGTGCTATTTGAAAACAAAAAATTCAGATACATTAGCTGTTACATATGGTGCAAGCTGGAAATATCTATTTAGATTTTGTCCAAATTACAAGGCAAAGTGTGACATGAACGTGAATCCTTTATGTTAAAGTTGCAAGTGTAAATAAATGAAAAAAAGGTTATCTGAGGCATAAGCTTGATTGCAATGAACTGTTAGACTGATAAAATATATGCCTGAAGAAAAATTATATAAATTAAGACATTCAGATACTTATTCCACCTTATGAAAACTAGAAAAAGAATGTGAAATTGAGAAGATTGACGAGATTTGGTGTTTATTTCAAAAGTAACTCTACCCAAACAACAGTGCTATGTTTTAAATTTTCATATGAAATAGTACATTTTGACAGGTGAAGCACTTTTATGAACAAATCTACCAGTATGTGAGAAAAATCTGGTAGCAAAAAAGCCAAGCGTCTCCAGATGAGCTTTCAAATCCTTCAACTCATACTACTATGAAACATACACACTATTTCTCTGGTAAGATTCAGTAGTATGTTAGGTTTGAACTTTAAAACAAATATTTAAAGTTTTAATGGAAATATCTACCCTCATATTTTGGATGAAACTTCAGGGTTAAACCCAGAGAGAATTCTGTAAGACACTTTTCCTTGTTTGGGGTACTTTTTGCATCTTTGATCACAGTACACCACAGCTTAAGAACCAGCCTTCTCTCTAGTCACAGGCTGTAGAAAAGGAAAGTAAAGCATCCCAGAAAAGGAAACTAGAATGAGTGAGCTGTGGAGACTGCAGGGAGGCTGTGCATAAATACTACATCATGCCTTTAAGTTCTAAGCACATTTCAAAACGAGTGGACTTAACAGCAGGATTTAACAACCTCAGATGACTAACTTAGACTCAGAAGGAAGAACTCCGGCAAACAAAGTTAAAATGTTTACTGTAAAATTTATTTGCACATTTGAGGTTTAAAACGACCTCAAGGTCAATCCTAATTAATAACACAGATTTGTCCTTAAAGTCTGATAACTTTACCTAATGAAACTTGTCTAGTTAGATGTATTTAAAGGTATTTCATTGTACTCACCGTTAGCGTCTTTTAAAACAGTGACACATCTTTATTTCAGACACAGTGAAAAATGAACACTATCTGCTAACCCTACCCTTCCTCTCCACCTCATAACATCTCCTTATAGTATGTGAACAATGCCTTTGGGGATAGATTTGTCCAATGATGACTTGTTTGTTTAAAAGGTTTTGATTTTCAATACCATGTTACTAACAAGAGCATTTTTATTTCTACATTACTTTCCATTTAAAATGTTTGAGTAATAAGCTACTCACCCTAGCAAACTACTGATGGGCAGACAATTAGAAAAAAACAAGAACTAAATTACTACATATGCTTTTTACAGTTATCCATACTAGTAACTATCTACTAACTCTATGTCAAGCAACTGAAATCTCAAATGATGGCCAAGTAGCCAAGAGTGGGAAAAAAATAACAAAAACCAACAGGTCTTCTAACAATTGCTTCTCAAGCAAAGACATACAAATCATCATGAACCAATTAAGTATTCTGGCAATATTTTTTCTTTAATTTAATTGACATTTTACCTTTTCAATTAATTTGTATGTGTAGTGCCCAAATCACAGGGTTATTTTTGTATTCTTGTCTACCTACAAGCATGCCAGTTGACATTTTAATTCCTTTACTGAAAGACACCTAATTTTCTATGTCTGTATTATTTAATGGCATGTTAAACCTTATAAACTTAGTATGCTGTAGTTGATCACCTATGTTAGCAGCTATAAATCTAAACAAGTATGTATTTCAACACTCACCTCATAGTTTTAATAAATGAAATAGGTGGTATCCAAATTTGAGAAAAAAATGGAAATGGCCTTAAAATACTGTCTGTATTATGAAGATTTCAAGATGATAGCTATGTAATCTAAGAAATAATCTGAACAATTTTACAATTACTTAATATAATAAAACAAACAATGGCAAATATCACTATTTCAGATTGAGCATTGAAAGATTAAACTCCTTTTCCTTGAACTAAAATAGTAAAGTCAACACCTCTAAAAGTCTGTTATACAAAATAGAACACCAATTCTTACAAATGAAAGAAAAGTAATTTTTTCTGGTCATTTTCCAGGACACATCAAAAGGACTATATAAAGTGTGTTGTTTTAATCCTCAAGAGCCTGATAACCAAGTTGTATCAAGAATGACCTCAAAACTCAGAATGCCAATAGCTTTTTATCTTAAGAAAATGAACAGTTAGATGGACATTTTTTAAAATGTCAGCAGATGGCACAGGCAGCGTGAGAACACTGACTTTGTCACTGTCTGGTATATGTCTGGACTGCAAAGAGAAGACTGTCATTCCAGCATGCCTCAGAAACATGGTATTTGCTTTTACAAAACTCCATTTTAAGGAAGTAAGTTCAACTGTAGAAACTGCTCTGAGGCCTGGGAATGTTAAAACAGAGCTTCTGTGTGTGCTTCAGGACTAAGCTGTAATCACACTTAGGATAATTCAAGAAAATTAGAACCTTATGAGCAAAACTGAACAATATTTTTGTTTCACGATCTACAATTGTTGGTCTTTCTGAGTATTTTTTAAGGCTGTGCTATATCTGAGAACTGTGACCCTTCTCCTGACCTAGCAACATACCATTACCTTAAATAAGAGAATAATAAATCCCACAATCAGCACCATATAGAGGGGCCCCTATTTTTGGTACCATGAATTTGTTCACCACATTACAGCACATTTTAACAAAAACAAGTTTGCATTTGCAGCAGCATATGTTTTCAGCCGTGATACCACTGATCAACTGTAGCACTGACCAAAGAGGATATGTTAATGGTTTGCTCAATTACATTAAAGGCAATAGCACTTCTATCAGTCCCTTTATTTTTTTAATCCTCCTCCTCTTTTTAAAAGAAGATTGACTCCTAATTGAGCTTGATACTGAAAGGTGAGCCTTTTCAGTAGCTTCACTTTTGACAGAATTAATGACTATTTTAAAAAAGTATAAGGTGGTAATGGAAGAAGCTATTTTATAAAAGAATACAAAGAACGAAACTAAAATTTTTATACTTTAAAAAAAAAATTATATACCTCCTTATACTACAGGAGGTGAAGGCTTATTTTTAAAAGGCACAGACTACTCTCACATATGCCATACTCATTACCTCAAACTGCAGACAGCTGTTAGAATTTCCCCCAGTAAGTATCACTGCTGACAATTTCACCACCCTGTTTGTCACTCAAACCATTCATAACCTGAGCATCAGTAATCATATTCTGTGTCCTCTTATCAAACTGTGTTTAAACCTTCATAGAATGGCATAGGCTGGAAGGGACCTCAGAGATCATCTAATCCAACCTCCCTGTCATGGGCAGGGACACCTCTCAACTAGACCAGGCTACTCAAGGCTCCGTCCAACCTGGCCTTGAACACCTCCAGGGAGGGGGCATCCACAACTTCTCTGGGCAATTTATTCCAAACTCTTACCACCCTCGTACTGAAGAATTTCTTCCTAAAATCTAATCTAAATCTGTTCTCCTTTAACTTAAACCCATTTCCCCTTGTCCTATTAGTGGACAATCTTGTAAAAAGTCCCCCCCAGCCTTCCTGTAGGTTCCCTTAAGGTATTGGAAGGCAGCTATTAGTTCCCCCCGAAGTCTTCTCTTTTCACAGCTGAAAAACCTTACACTATTCCTTCTCATAGCATTTCTTAAAAAACATCATTTCCTGTACTCTACAGATAAACGCACTCATCTTAATATCTAATCCCTTCAGACAGCTACAAAGATCATCTGTGACTGTTATCCCTCTGACCAGCTCGCCTTTCTCTACACCTCTCTTCTAGCCCCTTCTCAGTCGTTTCAAGCAGAAGCCACTTTATATTTTCAGGGCCCTGCAAAGCATTACGGCACTGAACATACCATCCTTCATTCGGTACATTCAGATTTAAAACAGCCTCCAGGCACAAAGCAGTCAACAAAAATACCTTTTCTCTCACCAATTCATGATATCATCCAATGTCCAGCTACTAGAAATTTCTGTGAATATTAACAAATCTACTTTAAATCTTCTTTCAGACTATCTTTCACCATAATGTCTAAAAAAAGTCATCAGCAAGGCTGTGTGATTTCCCGAGGCTATTCTCCAGCCTAATGACTGGCAAACCTCTCCTGGATCAATACCTATCTCTCGTAATTTGCTTTATACACAAAATCTGAGACTTTTTTGAGTTGGGACTATCTTCTTGTTCTACGTTACACAACAACACAGTCATGTTTGGCTCACCATGGTTTCAAAACCAAACTAACAACAAAAATAAGTACATAAAACATTCCATACAACTGAAAGCAGACAACATAAGGCAATGGAGCTGCAGTACGGAAAATTAAAGCAATTCAAGTAATGCTGTTAAGTTTTTAGACACGACTTATATTAGACTACATTTACACTTCTGATGCATATGTCAGAAGCTACTCATCCGGAAGAAGTAGAGAAAAGTAATCTCTTCTTTTTCAGCAGGGTGTGTTGCCCTGGATATCTTTTGATATATCTGCTTATTACTTAAGATGTACTCAATAGCATACATCAGCAGAGAGTTATACTTTAAAAAAATCTGCTGCCGAAAATAGCTAGAGAGGAGAGAAAAATATTTTTTGCCATTTTGCTTTTGTATGTCTGAATACAAAAAGATAATGACAGCCTGAATGTTAGACAAAAATCTGGTTATTTCATATAATAATACAATATTTCCAGTGGATTTCAATTTTTTGTTATAAAAACTTTCAAAAACACTAAGATGGAAACATCTTAAAAAACTCAATAAAAGGTTTCAAGTAACACATAAGTCTGCAACTTCTTTTTCTTTGGAGGCAAGTTCGGGCTGGGGAGGCAGCCTTTGTTGATCCCTCTAGAGAGTAAGGTAGACCAGGATTTGGTTATGTTTTCAAGCTACTGGACGAA